AATTGTGAAAACAACTTCTCTGGTGCAGTTTGTAACGCTCTTTCTAATGGTGCATTGAAAATTGATATTGGCTGAGAAATAGAGGAGAAAATCGCATTTTGTCAAAAACCTTCGATATGCTGTAAAAGTCACTCTTATTCGCTCTTTTCTGAAAAGAAGCTGCAATAAAAAGTAGTCTACTGTGTAGAGCACAAGTTACTCTTCAGAATGGTGTGTCAAAAAGAAAATTTTTCTTTAAAATAGGCGCGCACTGAATTTTGAACAACAAGTGGTTGATCAATTTTGGAACAATGAAAAGAGGCATTTCGTGATTATGTTGCTAATAACAACTGAATACATCAATAGATTGACTTCAAATTTTGTATACGTAGACTACAGACCATGAACTAGTATGTGACAAAAACCAGACGGTTCTAGCTTATTTAGCGTCTGAGGTATGAACAAAATAAAAAAATTGATTAAGGTGGTTGATCAATTTTGGTACCCACTGTATATGATACTTAAATACATGATGCATAATTATGAAAAGTTCACCATTAAATAAAAATGAAACAACTTTTAAAAAGTTAACAATAAAAAACCCATTAATTCATATTCACAAAAAAATAAGCATTTCTACATACAAATATAAACATGCGTTATAGATTTGAAGACCTGATATGAAAAGCACGAAGCAAACGAAGTGTTAATTTAGATCAATGTTTTATTTATATTCATTGAAAAATCTTTTTGGAGCCACTGATAAGAAAAATGATCTTCTTTTAAATGATAATCCGTTCAAGACCTCGAGTGTTGCACGAATTTTTGTTGGATATTCTGTATTGAATATCTCATAAGAACCAATCAAAATAGCTAATGCTTCAGCTTGAGAATTCGTTGTAATTAATTGATTATATTCAATGACGATAGAATAATTTGTAGTATCATTGACCTTTTGGATTTGAATCATTGAATAAGCATCTATAGTTTCCTAAAATTAATAAAGATAAAAATTAAGAATCAAACTTGAAAATTTCTATTTTATAATCAATATAGCACTCACATGATGTAATAATAGTTTCTTCGAATGTTTATAACGTTTCATGATTAAATATGCCAAGATAAAGAAAGGTTGCTCTTCTAAAATAAGGAAGATAATATAGGATGATAATTTAGAAGTATTACCTCTGATAATATTTTCTTTTTGTGAATGATCCAAATATTTGAGTAGTTTCGTGCAACTTGACTTTAATGTTTCAACAATGTCTCCATCGAATGGATCAAAATGGACATTGATTTCACGAATTATCTATACACGAAAAATAAATAAAAGTAAATCAATTTTTTATATAACAGTGAGAATTCGTGAGTTAAAATAATATATTCTTTAAGACTTACCAGATCAATTACTGTTAAAGCTGGATATAAATCAATAATTTGTTTTATTGGTTTCATTTCTTGCACAAGACGTTGACGATGTGGATACGTTATGTCAATTTTTGCTTTAATTTGACCATAGCCATAGTTTGTTGTATTTATTAAAACACGCATTGAATCAGCTTGTTGAGACAATTGCATTAAACATTCTTGAGATTGTTCTTTTTCTTGAATCAAATACTCCTAAAAAGAGAAAAAAAGAAGTTGCAGAATAAAGCAACATTTAGGTACTTACACGATGAGATACTAAATCAACTCTAACAAATTTTAGCTTCCGTCCTGACAATAGATGACCATATGACTGTCGTTTTTTCAGTAATACATCAGATGAACAACCAAATTGTTGACGATCACGTGAAAATTGTTGTTTTAATGCCGATGTTAATAAACTCTAAACAAGAAAGAAAATATGGTGAAAATAAAAAAAATATTCAATATTGTATCACTTATACCATATCTTCGCCGAATACTTTACTAAGTGCTGGATATTTGTTTTTCACACTAACAACCATTCGGTCAAATTCAGATGCAGTTGGATAAAAATCAATGCCATAGGTATTGGCTACATCATCACGAATTGTTTTAACAAGTCGTTGTTTTCTCCTGCACCGCAGTCCAAAATCTATTTTCGATGGATCTTCTCCAGCTTTCTCAAAAGCTTTATCAAATTGTGGAAGCACGTAATTTAATGGAAATTTTTTTTTTGATTGAGATATTGACGTAATTGAAGAATTATCTAATGATTGATGGATTCTTTGATCAATTGTTGTATCTTGTGGCAGTAAAAAACGTGAACTCGAGGAAGATTGGTCATTCAATTGATTCGAAACATTCGTGGTCGATAAAGAAACTTTGAGATGATCTTGATTACCAATAACGTGATGTTCACTATCAATGTTAAAGTCATGAAAAAATGATAAATTATTTGAAGCGTTTGAATTTATTTCATTTATTAAAATGTCCGATTGTTTTTCATTTAATGTCAAAATATTACTAAATGGAACAAAAAAGAAATGAATGATAAGAAATGAAAAAATAAACACTCACCTAGAACTTGGAAAAACATCTGATTTTAACATCTCCAGTTTTTTTTCGAACGTTGTTCTAATACCTATTGTTGGCTTCTTAATAACATTATCGATAGTATTGATTGATAAAAGTTCATCGATTGATGATGAACTCAAATTTAAAAGAGATAAACCATCAATTTCTTCGTCTAAAATAAAGTAAAATAAAATAAGATAGAAATAGATTTAACATAAAAATTAGATGATTTCTAAATACCTTTAAGTTTATTTACGTATTTGTCAAAACCATTCTCCATCAACCATATTGAAACATCCTCCTGAGTCCAATCCATCGAAAATATATCTAAAATAGATTAAAAAGAAAAAATATATATGATTTTAGTTGTTTCGAGCCATTGAAGAAAAATAAGTGAATACCAAATATTTATTAAAAATCGAATTAATAAATCAGCATAAGTACGTACAAAAAAATCATTCAATAACAGTTAATGGATAAGGTACACGAATGAAATATGAATTATTTATATAATAACAGTCTTCTGCTTTGTGTGTTAAAAATTCATTTTTACTCAATATACAATTATTGTTTGATGGATTAATTTCATAACACCATAAACTTTGTCTAAATGTAATTGTATCATAGCATTGAACAATAAAACGCCATTGTTTGGCTATATGAATAATAAATTTAATTTTAACGAATAATGAAATTTCTTCTCCACCCAATAAATAAGCAACAAAAAAATCTCCGATCTTGTATTTAACATTATCTATCAATACCCATTTGACAAATTCAACAATGTCACCATAAATGAATTGACTGTCATCAAGTAATGTTTTTTGTATTGATTGATTAAAAGTTATTTTGCGTCGTGTACGAATTTTACCACTAACATTATTTAATTTAAACACATTTTCATCAATTAATTCATAACACTGAAGTAGCTGTATACGTTTAGAAATCGTATATGATAAATTAATAAAATTATTACATCGATTGGCGATTTGTTTTAACAAATGATGTTTCGCCTCATAGCGTAAATTCATTTGACGCTCTAATGGACCATATTTTGCTGTATTTCGTGCTGAATGAAGAAGATAATGAAATTTGGGAATGAATTGTTCAGGAAAAATTGTCTGAAACAATTGTAAAAATTCTTCAATTAATTTTTGAAGGGTTGATAACCAAGATTTTCTCGGAAAATCACAGTATAATATATCCCATATTTCACGTAATAGTTCATATAAAAACCAATAAGGAATTCTCTCAACAATATTGAATAACATAAGTGGTAAGTTGCTTTTCCTACAAGAAAAAAAATGTATTATTGATTCCAGAGTCGTAATTTTTTGTGTTATTTCTATTACTAAAAACTATTTCTCTTTTTAGTGATCAACAAATGTCGAATTCATTATTGAGATAAAAAAATATTTAATGTTTACCTCGAATAACTTTTTCCGAAATATCTTTTTCTTTCAATACAGTTGGTCGATCTCTTCTATCGTTGCTACCATAAGTAAATTTGTTTATCATTTGATATATTTTTGAAGATGTGCATAAACTATTAGACGCCACCACATGTAATAAGCAGCTTGTTAATTTAGGCATGATACCTTCCATTACGTCATGCATCAAATCTGGTGGCAAAGAAGTAATAGGATGAAACGATGAAATAAATGATAATGCTGATGCTTCATTGATACCATACATAGATTTATCTGAAGGCACGTTTTCTACATGTTTTAACTGAATATCATGCGATTCAGCTGTACGAATTAATGTTTGTGATTCCTTGTAAATATGTTTCATATCGTGATGATGCGTGAAACAATAACGACAAAAATAACCAGTAGTAAAAGTTCTTGTAAATCCACCAACTTCTGAGCTAAATAAAAATTCAATTAATAGAAGAACTAAGTGTTAAATTATGTAGGATTAAATTTCCACCAGCCATGTTAGTATTAAATAAATTGTACATTAAATTCAGTATTCGTTAAAGAATAGTTTAATTTTAAAATTATTCAACTTTTTAAAAATTTCCGCTGTCAAACTTTTCCTTTTACAAAATATTTTATTGAAAGATTTACCTGCTAGATTATCAGCACATAATGCAAGGGGGAAACAGCTGATTATTGATTAGGTTTGATTAAGAGTGATTAGAAGTGATTAGGAATGATTAGGAGTGATTACTAATCAAGCCTAATCAAGTCTAATCAAATCTATAGGCTTGATTAGGCTTGATTATTAATCACTCCTAATCACTCCTAATCACTTCTAATCACTTCTAATCACTCTTAATCAAACCTAATCAATAATCAGCTGTTTCCCCATAATAAGAATAAAGACCAAGAAGACCAAGACCAAGAAGACCACCATAATGAGAANTTTTTTTTTGATTGAAGAAAAATCGTTATATTTATTTTATAGAATAAGCTCTTAATCATAAAAAAGTATGCAAATAATAAAGATAAAATGCTGAAAGACTTTGAATGAAGGAGCAAACATGCATTGTTATGAAGTTTATAACTATATTTTATTTCCCACGAGATACGATAATCCAGTAAGAAGTTGAGAAGAATTAATTAGACCATCATTATACCGTTGATACAGAGTATCAATACGTTTTTGTTTTGCTGTTGCTCGTACATTTTGTTTTTTCGTTGCACCGGAAGACCACTGAAGAACAATTGTTTGAACATTTTTTTCTTCAGATTGCACGAATTGAATAAATCGCCATATGTGCGGATGATTACGTGAAATGCGGTGGTTCATTCTGTTATGATAACCTTTAATGAAAAAGTATAGTCGTCGCTTTCGAAATAGATTCAATCTTACTCTTACCTTCACATACACTATTAGTACGCGAATTGGTGGTTGAAACATTCCACAAATTGATGTCAGGTAACCATTGTTTTTCGAAATAGTTTAACAGCGGTTCGATTGGTGAACCAGTTAGTTGTTGAGCATCATTTCGAATCTCGTCGTAGCTACGAAGAACTATGTCTACCGGCATCATCGCCAGAGACATGATTTTTCTACAAAGACCACGTACAACTTCATCTCTAATATATTGCTGCTGAATGCCCAGCTGTTGAATTTGTCTAAATATGGCCTGACAAAAATGAAAATTACATCCATAGTGTCTAGATGAAGGGAACTAGAAACAAAAATGTCCAAATGTATTATATGAACACAAGACACTTACTTCTGTCTTTACCACCGGTAGAACGCCAGATTCAAAATCGGTTAATATTAATTGAGGTGAAAAGTCTTTATGACGTTCTGCAGCTATTTGTTTGAGCTCAAAAAAAATTTGTCGATAAGTTGTACCTTTTTTATTAATCATCAGTCCAAATACGCAAGGTACACCTAGAAAAAATTAGAAATATTTCCAGACAGCGGTATTTATGTTTCTTACATGTATCAAAATAAATCGCATGAATAATGAAAACTTGCATGAAATATGGCGGCGCTTTTGAGAATGTGCCATCCATATATACGGCTTGTGAATCAAACAATAAATTTAACTGAACATCACTTCCATATAGTAATAGACGGTCACGTCTTGCACGTGATTCATCCAAAAGTAAAAATCTTTCTCCATTATTGGTTAATTCGTATAGATCAGGAATGTCAAATGAATATGAACTTGGTAATAGAGGTACTAGTTTTTGACGATTTGCTGCAAGTGTATGATCTAAAAAAAATAAAAGAGCTTGTCTTATTATATGGTTTATAGTCATTTACAAATTTCTTGATTTGTCGGAAATGCAGCTAAAACTGCACGATCAACTGGTGCTTTAGCTGTTTCTTCTTCATAAATCACAGCAATTGGTGTTAATTCATTTACAATACGTTGTTTCATTTCTCGTCGAAGACGTTTTGTTTGAATTAGATCAGGATTTGGTTGATGATCATGATCGACTTTACTACCATATATATATACATCATTTTCATCAGTATGAATAGACATCATGCACCCAGGAACAAGACATTTCCGATATTTCTTTCGCGGGGTCTTTTTGTTGCATTTATATACATTTTCGTTAAAGACTAACAGTCGTTGACCTTTATTCGATGTTATGAATGAAATATGGCTATCTACATTAGTAGATGTATCCATTGAATTCGATAATATATATTTGTGAAAAATCTAAAAGTAGGGAAAACAATTACATTTGCTCATGTAACATACGTTTCTTGTGTTTTTGTTCACTTTTGTTTGATAACAATGATCTATATGTTAGCTAAGAATGGATTATTTTATTAACCAATACCAACAATTTTAAGAATACTGCGCTGCATTAATTGGATGATGGTGTCATCTTCGCTTGAGTTCAATAGCGCTTTCGTGTATCTGTGATACTTCGCCAAGTTCAAGCATTGAAAATATTATGAGAATACATATATTCTCATAATTTTTCATTTATATTTCTAGTATTCGACATTTTTACATTTCGATGTTTTTATAGTTCGACATTTGTATTTTTCGAGATTTTTC